AACCCTAAAACTGGGCAAGTTAAGCCACTTGCCGTACCGAACGCAAACACAGCCGCCCCAGAACACGGTTTAATAGTCGGTACGGCAAGCACTATACAGGGTGTTTCTGAAGTGTGTGAGGTAAATAGTATACGCATACTCACTGTGATGCCACAATGAAGAGTTTTTTGGAATTTTTTTTCTAACTTCAAAATCTGGGTTTTTTAAAGTTATTTTTAGAATATTATCTTGAATGTAAAAATAAACACTCTAGTCGTATTTTTTGCGAAATTCTCATACGAATCGAGATATCGCATCACTTTTGCGCTTGTCGCGCGTTTTTCGCGCTCGAATCGCCAACTAAAAAAAAAGTCGTGCGACACATCGATTTGTATGAGAATACTGCAAGATAACCAGTGGTGATAATTATTTGTTGTTATTGATAATACACGATTAATTAACACATTGTTTTACATTGTCGACTAATAAAAAATATAAAATAATAACAAAATTAGGGTTAACAGAGTTTTAAACGATCAAATGTAGTAGCATGCATTTGTGTCATACCTTTACTAAATAACTTTTAATTTTATAAAGTTATAATAGTTAGAGATAAAAGGAACTACCCATTTGTGTGTTTATACTGAAATTCCAGTTTTTGGATATCATAGTACTTAACATAATTATTTTGACTCGAAAAGACAAACATTTTATTTTATACTATTATTATTATTTACGTTCTGCCCATAACCTAGCTGCAAGATTTCCATTTCCATCAGCCAAACCTAATCACAATTAATAAACAAATAAATAGTTTGTTTCGTATAACATGTCGGTTACGACAACTTAAAATAGTTACACGGGTATGTTTTGTGATAAAGTAAAATACCTAGAGTTTTTAATAAAATAAATCACCAATAGGTGATATTAGTTAAATACTTAAACTAATTAATTAAATTAACTAATACTTACAAGTTACAAAGCATAAAAACCATGTCTGCATATTCAATGTTTGTGTACGCCATTGCGCAAAAATCAAAATTTAAATTAAAAACTTTAAATCTTAAAAATAAATATTCCAATATTTAAAATAAAATGTTTATCTTTTCGAGTCAAAATAATTATGTTAAGTACTATGATATCCAAAAACTGGAATTTCAGTATAAACACACAAATGGGTAGTTCCTTTTATCTCTAACTATTATAACTTTATAAAATTAAAAGTTATTTAGTAAAGGTATGACACAAATGCATGCTACTACATTTGATCGTTTAAAACTCTGTTAACCCTAATTTTGTTGTTATTTTATATTTTTTATTAGTCGACAATGTAAAACAATGTGTTAATTAATCGTGTATTATCAATAACAACAAATAATTATCACCACTGGTTATCTTGCAGTATTCTCATACAAATCGATGTGTCGCACGACTTTTTTTTTAGTTGGCGATTCGAGCGCGAAAAACGCGCGACAAGCGCAAAAGTGATGCGATATCTCGATTCGTATGAGAATTTCGCAAAAAATACGACTAGAGTGTTTATTTTTACATTCAAGATAATATTCTAAAAATAACTTTAAAAAACCCAGATTTTGAAGTTAGAAAAAAAATTCCAAAAAACTCTTCATTGTGGCATCACAGTGAGTATGCGTATACTATTTACCTCACACACTTCAGAAACACCCTGTATATACCGGGCGCTTCCTTGAACGATCATCGTTCATCAGTCTTCCATCAACCGTCCTACCTTCATCTAACAAAAAACCAGAAACAGCTATAAGTGTAAGCTGTGAATACCGACACCGATCACCGACGACAACCAACACGGCCCGACATCAAGTGTCCGCCGTGACCCGACACGTAGCGGCAACGACGACGAGAATAAGTAGCGGCTAGAACTTACGAGTTACAAGCCGAGTTACGAATACCGGAATACCTACCGACGACAACCTGCACCGCAGCCCGACGTCAAGGATCCGACTTCTTCCGTGCGCCGTAACGGATCTAGAGCGTTAGCCACGAACGACCACACACCCTAAATACCAGGGTCGTAGCCAGCAGTCACCGCCCACCGGCGAAGCCGCACCGCCGAGACCAACAGCTATCTACGTACTTAATATATCATCTCGTCCCCCCTCCGGCCACTTTAATAAGTTGTGTCAAAAACTCAAAACCCGGGTACGATATATCACTGAAGCCGCTTCTTTTGAATCACGCGCCGTGATATATCGACCCCGTCCATACCGACCAGGCGCGTACACAAAAAAAAAAATTGTGGGGGGGGGGGGTTTGCTTGTAAATTTTCATACTTATATAACCTAACAAGGAGTTTACACAATTTCAGTTATAGTACTATTTATTTCTTATAAAAAACGTCATACTTAAAAAAAAAATTTAATAATTGTTAAAAACATGTATTTTTTATAATATAAAATCTAATTTTCGAGGTAGTCTTGCAAATCTGTTAATGACTTCGTCAATATCAGTGTTATCGTTTCTTTAAATATTTATGAGCGCTAATCCTGTCAGCCGGTCTTGTCCAATATTATTTCTCAAATAGGTTTTCAGTCTCCGCAATGTTGAAAATGAACGCTCTGCAGTAACAGTCGTTACAGGCAAAGTAGTTAATATTGTTAAAAGGCACTTTATATTCGGATAGAAATCACTGGAAATTTGACTTAAGGTAGTTAATGAACATTTTGGGCGATCATCATCACATTTTGCCACTGTATAGTGGTCCGATTAACGATTGTAGATAAAGATCGAGCACTAAACGAGAATGTAATTCATATTACGAATAGGCAATGCGGGAAATTAAATAAAACCAAACTAACAAATAATAAAACTTATTTCCTGAAATTTCGGGGGGGGGGGGGGTTTGAACCCCTAGAACCCCCACTTGTATACGCACCTGATACCGACGACTGTCAACGTCGGGACCACCAAACATTCACCGATACTGTACATAGAACCTGGCCATCGCCGGTCGTTCCGAACTCTCACCGCGATGGTCCGCCGATCAGGCCAGCCATCGCACCCGTGATCCTCGCTGTGCCCCTCATTGTATAAAAACTATACATTATACAAAATATAGAACGAGACGTGATATCAATTATTATAAAACTTGTTATTATTTAGGACGCCGGTCCATTGTGAGTTGTGACCGTGCAGTCTCATTACTCAGCTAATACGAATATACGATAGTCGATAAGTAAATATTGGTAATAATTTCAGTGTCCAAATATGATACTTCAAGTATATATTTTTACTATATCTATATGCCTACTGCTCAAATTGTTTAAAATAATTGACATCCATTTTCCTTTATTTGATATCGGACATACGAAAATAGTGTTTGATTGTTTTTTTTTGGGGGGGAGGGGGGCATTTAACTTTATTGTTATGAACTATTTTTTATTTAGATATCTTCTTGAGACATAAAAGTTTCCATATAGATAATAATGATTTTGATAAATTTCACCATCATCATTGTTCATAATATCGATCAAATGCATTAACCATAAATGTGCATGTAAATTTACTTTATCTCGTGGTTCTGAATGTTCTGATAGTATTTATGTTGTTGTCAATTTGGTAGGGACGCTCGTGTTTTATGCATTTATACACTAAAAAATGGCGATTTATGATAATCACTTAACCAACGCGATGGCCGCATTGTTCGTCAACAATGACCGCTGGAAAGGACTCGGATTGAACGACAAAATTCGGTCACAGCTAATCAAAATCGTAAATGATTATGAGAACATTTTCTCATGGGGCATAAAACGGTTAACAGGAGTCAACCAAAGTCGCATGATGAACCTCGTTGAAAAAGTTCGGGGAAAGCAAGAAATGATCACAGACGTAGACGTAGACTTATAACCGACTGTTATCCTTTTCTATAAAAATATACCTATCTTATAACAACTATACCAATTGTCCTAGTAAAATGGACAACACTTCTGAAAACATTTGAATATGTCTTTAAGTTAACATGGAAATTACTTTTTGTAGTGAAGTCCCTCTAGACCACCACGTCTAATGTTAGGATCAATTTACGAGTAGGTACGAGAAGTAACATTAAACAATTAACAACTTCAATAATAACGGGTTCACTAACGCACGTTTATTAACAGTGGTACGTGATAATTTGCAAGTCTTAGTAGTAGGAATGAATGAATAATAATAATAATAGTAATAGTAATATTACTACTCTATCTAATTTCTAAATACTAGACATACCATTTTCTGTATCTATATTAAATTATTTTCATAAAATGTTAGCTATGTTTGTGCTATTGTATAATCATATTTATTCTGTTTCAAATCATAAAATTTAAAATAAAGGCAGTCATTGTTGAAACAATAATATTCTTCTTGAAGATGCATTTCATATTTATTATTTGATGAAACATGGTTTAACACATTTTTCAAATTCAGTAAAACTAACTAAAAAATAATTATAAATTGATAAAAATAAACCAAAAACTTTTAATAAAAACTTAAAATTGTTATAAAAATATAAACCATTTAAATCAACTGATGACACAATGGTAATTTGGCCCTTAGACAGTAGGTATATCAAATGCTCACGTAATAATAATTGAGAGGGTCATTTTCTTAGAATACAATGTGTACATTTCTAAAGGAACTACGTTTATTTACAAACTTTTTAGGTCTCAAAGCTATTTGAATCATTCACATTGTTAATTGGCTCAATGGGTTTTTTAATAAGTACCTAGGTAATTTAAAATTATTGTATAAGAATATATTTTTATAAAGACTTATTCTGATTTATTTATTTTGAAGCAAATTAGTGTTGATGATTTTCATTAGAGTTATATTCTGACTATCAAGATTCATTTTTTTTTTATGAAGAACTTTTATCATTATCATTCAAATTATGATGTTTATTTAATTGTAGTATTATATTGAACCAATCAAATGTGATAAAACAAATAATGTTGCAGAGTATTTAAAATTAAAGTAATAATATATAAAAAAACATATTAGGTACAATAGGTCCATAGTCTTGTTAAATCTAAATAATTGTATGAAAATTTGAATGAAGAATAGAAGAATCTGGTTTTGAATAATCCTCAATTCCACTGAATTATCTTTATTTAATCACCTATCAGATAGATGACTGACATATTATTCATGTCTTGAGTCTTTCTTTTTTCTCCAAGATTCATTTTTCTTCTGAAGACTTCCATTAGGCTTATTTTCTGATAAGTTAACTTTTTGTTTTCTCCATGATTTATCATTAAAATCATCATCATCAATACTCAGTTTTAATATTTTACTTAAACCATCAAATGTATTCTTTTCGTTTATATCCCAGTCATTGTTGTTCATTAATTCTTTAATATTCCCAAATAGAACATTCATAAATTCATTTGGTTTGAAATATCTATCTGCATTAAACAGTGGGCGAGCAAACTGAAATAATAAAATATAATCTTTATATCATTATAAAATAACATAATAAAAAAAAAACAAATTGAAAATTGTTTATACACACAGCACCAACTAAGTATTATTAACATGCACAAGTTTCAATAAATTATTCTACTTTTAAAGAATCTTAAAAAAAATTGTTTTCTTTGTATTAATTTTTAAATGAATTTGTTAAGATTAAAAAATATAGTTCCTATTCAAATAATTATCGAACTTCTAATTACCAATCAATTGAAAAATGAATACACCATAACTATATAAACATAAATATGAGTAAAGATAGAAGAAAATACACACACGTACAATAAGAATATTAAAATTATAGTTTTTTAGAAGTTTAAAATTATGTGTCTAACTAGTATAACATAATTTAAATTTAAAATTTCATAAATTAAAATAAAGTAATAATCAATTTTAAAAACATGCAGGTTAAAACTCCTTAAATATTTTAGCATATAATGGAGAATAGTTACATAGTAACTTATTTTCAATTTACTTACAATTAAAGTACGTTTTTTATATATGTCTTCAATGTCTTGATCAAGGTAGAGTTTTAGATACCACAAAATTTGTTTAGGATTATTTTCTACTAGTGTGTAATACATCAATATTTGTACGATTATAACTAGTCTTCTATTTTGGTTTTGAAAATTATCATACATTCCCTTTAAGGTATCCACAAAAGGAAATTGTTTAACAGATTGCAATAAGCACTCTACTTTAATTAACTGCAATGCACTACCAAAATGGCCAAAAGCCATTCCACGAGATAAATACATTTTTGCTTTTACATAATCCTGAAAAAAAAACAAATAATTGTACAATTTTTTTTCTTCCAGTAACAACAATTTAACAAATATCATACCTTTTTATTTTTTAAATAATATAAGCCTAGAACTTGATCCACCCAACTATTATTTACATTTGACAGTTTTATAACTAAATTGTCTATCATGGATTTTGAAAAACACTCATCAGGACATTCAATACATGTTAGTAGAAGAATATTTAGATGATTTACATCATCACCGGCCAGTTCCACTGATATTCTGTAAAAAAAAAAAACTTGAAAATAAGTAATACTGTGGTAATTCTTAAATCATTCAACGCTCAATATTTCAAAAAATATAGATGTTTTGAAAAAAAATGTTGAACATGGTTTATGGTTATTAAACATTTTATTAAATATTCATATTTTGTAATATTTTTTATCCTAGACATTTTTATAGTTTTTACGTTTTTAAATGACAACATAGTTTTAATTCCTTATTCCAAGGCAGAATATTTTTCTAGGTATTTTGATACATAAAATTCGAATTTAAGATGAGTAGCTTATGAGATATAACTTATAACTAATAACATAAGTATTTAAGAGGACTCCATACACCCGCATGCATTGTCTCCACCTTACAAGCATAACATACCAAATTTTACAATCTGAATAATTAATTTAATTCAGTTATGTTTAGTTTTAGAGTGAATTGGTGAATTACCAAATTTAGAAGTAAGCATATCATTTAGCCTAGTGGGCTTAAACTCAAATTTTTTACTTATGTCTATAAAATGTTAATAGATAGTTATATCTGTGAGTTACGCACACGGCACCCATTCTATATATAAGTATACTGTGCCTAGACGTAAACATCAATGGTTACAAATTACCTAATGCGATTATTTTTAGTGCATAGTGATTACTACAAATGATAAAAATTATCTTATCAGTAATTAGGGATTACTAACGAAGGATCTAAACAGAAAACATTACGAATGTCAAATAATATTATATTGATAATTATTGATGTTTAAATAAAAACTAAAATGTATAACTAAAAAAAAACTTATCGTTCAATAAAAATAATGATTAATGAATAATAAAAATTGTTGAACTACTGCGGGCTACATCAATAATAAGTGACTTACGTTCAACTAATCGCCCTGTATATAAAGCAAATGAATAAGTAAATAAATGGAAACTCACCACAATTATTCTCTTCCCTAAACCAAACAAACCAATTGATAGCCACTCTCCATACAGACCATAGCTACCTTTCTAGACTACCTTTCTTACTATTTGAAAAATTAATACTAAACAGAATCTACCCAATTATCAAGGAAAAGAAACTAATTCCCGACATGAAATTTGGATTTAGAGAACATCACTCAACCATCCACCAAGTACACCAACTAGCCACTACTACCATTGTTCTCTCGAAAAGAAACTTTACACCTCGACAGTATTTCTTGATCTTGCAGCACAGGCCTTCTTGCTGAAGGCATCCCAGCCTTTTCAAATTAAAATTGTTCCTACCCCCTTTTTATTACCTTTTTTTAAATCATACCCAATTTTTCCCCAATCTTAGCTGGCGTTCCTCAAGGTGCAGTCTTATCACCAATTCTTTTTAACCTATACACAGAAGATCAACCCAGCACCCAAATACTCTGAATATGCTAATGACAAAGCAGTATACTCCACCCACACCGATCCTGATTTAGTTTCATTTTCTTTCCAAAGCCACCTGCCTATCACACTAGTACTCTTCCTGGCACGTCAAAATTAATGAAAGCAAATCTGTACACACTACCTTTGCTCTCCATCACAGACACCTCTTGCGGTAAATATAAATAAAAAACCTATACCAAACTTTGACACAGCCAAATATCAAGGTCTTACCTTCGACAAACATCTAACGTGAAATAAACACATTCACGCAACAAAATTAAAATTAAACCAAAAACTTTATTTTCTCAGACCATTCTTGGTAAATTCTCAAAACCAAAATTCACATCTACAATCTTCTTCTTAAGCCTATCTGGCTCTACAGTATTCAGCTCTGGGGCATTGCCAAAATATCCAACACACAAAAAATATAAGTGTTCCAATCAAAAATTCTCCGACTCATAACCAATACCCATCCGTATGACCGTATATCTCAAACCACACTCCTCACACTGATCTTCACATTCCTAAAGTCACTGATCCAGCCAAACTGTACTACACAAAATTAAGGAACCACCTTCAAAATCATACCAACCCTCACATTAAAAAAGCTACAATCCATGTTCATCCCTGGAAATCTTTCCAGAAGAATAAACGAAAATGGCCTCGTGATCTTTTATACTAAACTTAATGTGAAATACTAATCACCTAAATAATTGTAAATTGCACGCCGAAGTACCTTCACTGATAGACTATTCCCTCAAGTCACCCAAGCCACTGCACTTAATTTTTAAAAAAACACACATTATGCTTATTACACTTTTCTTTTAGTATATTAGATTGTATAAATTCTAGAAAAAAATAATAATAATAATTCTAAGTAAATAAAACCAAAAGGCATTATGGACAAGAGAATAAAAATAAAAATTAGATTTTATTGATTGTATGGTAGTTGAAAATTAATTAATCCCAAAAATTTAAGTTTTTTTCAATAAACTAAAGAATTTAGAACATATAGAATAGGCATATTAGAATTTATCATATCATTTTTAAGCAGGTAATTATTTTTTTGTAACCTAAGAATACCTTTTAGTTGATACTTACACAAAACAAAAACTACTTACTTAGCCATATCAGACGAAAGCTTAAAAAATTTATCTGATTCTTTATAGTTGTTTTTCAGTTTATTAATAAATCCTGCTTCCTTATACAACTGAGAAGATTTAATCAAAAAAAAAGGAGAAGTTCTTTTTGAGCATAAAAGATCTGCAGCTTTTATTTCATCATCCCCTGGCATTTTATATGGTTCATTAAAACGTCTTACTCTCCCTTTGGCTTTCAACCAAATGAATGTCCATTCAGGTTCAGTAGAATGAAGGGTCCGGGCTTCATCAGCACATATTAAAGCAATTTCATTTAATTTTGAGGAATACTCCATAAAAATTTTGGCTTTTACAGCACAAACTGCAGATTTCTCAGCTTCATTAAAATCGTTCTTATCCTTAATATCCTTCAGTAACTGAGAGAAAAAAAGATATTAGTTTAATAATTTTTAATGACTTACTTTTATAAAGGTCTCACTCTATACTACTAATACGCTGTATTGTTAAATTGATTAATATATTATAATCGCCAACAGCCTAAAAAGAGTCAGAATATTTTGAAAATGTTATCAAGTATATGAATTGATGAAATAAACATTTGGTGTAAATTTCAAGTATCTACAGTAATTCATTTTTGAATTATAAGAAAATAAGAAAATCGCTACAAGAGAAATCGAGTGAATATCCAATGTTGTAAAAATTTCAACTTTTAACGCTCATAAAAATTTAATTTGACTTTCCAGTAGAAATGTTTTTTGATAAAGGTAGACAAACTTGTAAGGAATCTTGTATTAAATTTTTATATCTTAGATATAAATAGAAATTTTTTTATGAATTTCTTATTAAACATAATTTGCTAATTTTCATAATTTTTACTAATTTTGTCAAAAATTCTAAGTTTAAACGCTCATAAAAAAATTATTATGGATTTAAGCTCAACTTTATTTTTATTTCCCATTAACAACAGCTTACAAGGAACCTTGTATTACATTTTCAAATTTTTTGCCAGAAAACAAATAATAATCAAACATTTAATTTGCTTATAAATAGTTCAACACAAATCAAAATATTTTGAAAATGCTTACACAAATATTCAGTGAAAATTGCATGTATCTACAGTCATTTTTGTTAAAGTTACACTAAAAACCAAATTCGATTTTTTCGAAAAATGGTTTTGAGTATGATTTACTGTTTTTCCTGTTGCGTTAGAAAACTATTGGGAATTTTAAATTTTGACTTCGTGAATACACAACTTGATTTACTTTCCTACCAGAAAAGCTGATATTTAAGAAAATCGAAGAACTTTTACTGCAAGAAACCACAATGACAGACACAAAAAATAAATAAATAAATATAAAAACACACATCATTGTAAAATCAATACATTCATCGCTCCACTCAGAATCTAAAATGTGTTCATAGTAGTTATCAAATACCTAAGCCCAGTCTATCAAGAAAAAAATCTTAGAGTAACCAGCTACAATTCACTCACCACTCAATATATAATTAGGTAGGCACTTTAACCTAAACTTACCTTTTCTGAATCAATTGGCAACATTAATGCAATACACGCATAAGTGGCTCGAGCAATATGGTGGTAAGCATCAGCATATTGTTTATGCTCATTAAATGCGCATGTCTCCAGAAATTTAATAACTCTTTCGATTTCCAAATATGATTCCTTATAACTTTTTCTAATGTAAAGTTCATAACTAACTATCAGTTGTAAATAAAATCTAAAAATAAAATTGTTCCCCATGATATGAATGCATACAATTGTATATTTGTATTTATAAAATAACACACTTTTGATGGGTAGGTATAACCATTGATTTTACTGATTTTAGAATATTCTAAAATCAATGGTATAACGTATAAATGATCTACAATATTGTTAAAAAATTATTAGGAACAGATATCCATTTATATTTATTAATTCCGGTTATTTGTGCAGGTGCAGTACAAGGCGATATCTTTGGGTGTTTGTTTTTACATACCTACAAAATTATTTTTTCATAAATAAATCTATGAAGGTTAACTACTTACCTAGTTAAGTTGAATCCATCACCCTTAGCGTCCATGACTATAGACAATTGTGTCTTTTCCCGAACTTTATCAATGACGCTCGACATCTGATTTTTATTGACTCCTATTGACCCTTGAATGTCCCACGAGAAAATGCTCTCATAATCTTTTTCAATTTTTCTTAGCTGTGCCCGGATGTTGTCGTCCACAACTAGTTCATCGTTGACGGACAATGCTAATGTGTCCATCTCATCGATCAAGTGATCGTCATATCCAGCCATTTTTCAATGCATAAAAGTATAAGACACGTGTGTAGGTAGTAGCCAGTGCCAAGTAGGTATACTAAATCGATAACAATACATAAATATTATTGGAGCTACGTAAAAAAGATGTACGTATACATTTATAATTATAGCATTCGATCGACTTAATGGCGACGAAGGCGTTCATCGAAACATAATTTATTCCATTCATATGAAATACCATTTACCTCGATATTGACGATATTATGATATAAAATGTGAAAACCTCAAAGTCTCGCGGAGAAATCTAAAAAATAATAGCTAATAACAGCAAAGAGCAGATTAAATATTTAAACATGTCGTGTATTTAAATATATAAATATTGTTCTATGACAATATTATGTGTAATGAGGTAAAAACGCAACATGCATACAATCGAGTGCACGAAAAATGAGAGTTGGCCCCCGCGACCCGTTGTTCGTACCCCACTGTTATGGCCATTGGTTCTAAACATTGTGTTGTCACGCTGCCGTCACGTGTCATATTCACGGGCACCTACAATGAGCGCAGGACTAATTTTAGCCTGGTGGCCTTGGTACCTTGGTAATCACTTAAGAAAAACTGCCGTTTGGCGCATGACGAGCAGCGTTCATTTATGGTGCCCGCTACTATATTATTATTTATTAATTATTACTATACAATATATAAAAAAATAATTAAATAATAATAATAATCAACTACAAAAATAATTTCAGGGGTTATTAATAAATTGTCGATTGCATAATATTAATGTAAGGGAAAGTGGGAGGATCCTCGGAATATTGCTCAGTGCTTTCTCTGTGTAATGACTAATGGCGCGCAGCGTAATATATCTCGTAAACAACTAAACCAGTATATTGTATTTTTATCACGTAAAATGGCATCTTAATTCGTGATTTTCAAGGTTCGATTATTAATCGAATAATCGAAACAAAACATCAGCTTTTTAGTCTTAAATTGTATAACATTATTAATTTGTATCAAATATCAACTAACAATATGTGCTGAAAATGCCTGAAATATTCAGATATCAAGACCGTTGTTATTGTCAACATATTACATAGTTCAATGTTATGACGGTTGTCGATGTCCAACAAACAACTGAATAATAGAACTGAATTTCCAAACGTGTTAATTTCAATGTATTTAATTAATATACAACATATTGTCGTATTGAATTATAGTTTTGCCCCTTGTATGTTTCTAAACATAAGTACTTTATCCCTGTTGGGCGTTGGCTGTTGTATACATCCGTCCACTAGTTACTAGCACATTGTACATTATTGTATAGTATATAGTCGATAGTACCTATTATAAATGTATGGTTACGAATTACGATTGTTGATACTGAGATAGGATTTAGAATTAAATAAATAATTTTATAACAGTTCTATTAAATATGAATTCATACCAGTAATTGGACGAAATACGAGTTATTAATATATTATAGTCATACTAAAAATTCAGTTCCAAAACATAAATATAGGTACTTAATTTACAAATCAAAATGTATAATTTATTAATGTGTCTATGCGTCATAATAGCATATTCAAGTTATCAAGTTATTTTTAACTGTCAGTACCTACTACCTAGTACCTACCTATATGGAATTGTAATTTATTGAACAAGTTTGGAAACTTGGAATTGATCAAGCTCGCAGAGCGAGCTTCCTGACTTGTTTTTATTATAATGCCAACTATACAGTCGAGACTCGATAACTCGAGGGGAATAATTAATATAAATTCGACTTAAGTATATTTCTAGTTAATTACTTTTAACCCAACCGTTCAACTCGTTCAAGTATACAGAGATACAGGAGCTAAAGATATTTTATAAGATAATCGGGTATACTTAAACATAATATATTAATATAATAATAATTAATAATTACCAACGTGTAATGATAGTATGATATAATAAACAATAGTGTTACGAGGCGTAATATAAATCAACATTGACTTCTGACTGGAGCGAAAAGTTTCTTAATTTTTCCAATAAATTATAAACTGGCTTCTTTTAGAGTCACAAGAGGTAGAGGTGTCGCGGTCGTCTTCATTGTTTTCATCAACGCTTAATCTATTTTCCGAAATTTCGAAGTCAGAGAGAGTTATTTCTCCACATACAGCAACATCTTCATCCACATTGACATAATCAGTGAAAGAGTTTTCTTGAGTATTCAGTTGGTAAATACTAAATAGTAGTAACACAAATAATTCTGCAACTATGTAATGTGATACAGCCATACAGGTACGGAACAGTTCGTCGACGGCCATATGAATTATGAATGTAATTATTGTAATTTATTAAATAAATCACACAAATATCAATGATGTACACAGCTATTTGTTTTCACATAAACTTAGTCCGCGAAGCCGCCCGCAAGTCAATACTAACTTTACGAGCAAGATTAAAGATATTCCATTCTATTCGCCTTGCGAGTCAGTACCTAGTAACTCGTGAGCGAGCACTGAGCATCCTGTATTCCTGTCCACCTCCAGGGTTATGAATTGTAGGGTGTGAGCAGGGGGGCTAAGTATTAAACCAAGATTTTTACAGTTTTCTTACATACATAATACATTTATTAGAGCAAAAAATGTCAATAGAGGTAGGTTGGTTAAATATCCAAACCCCCGTCCTAGTTAGAGGCAGAGTAGTTCGACTTCTATTCATAGGGTAATTTATAACACTGGTCCCTTCCCGCATCCGCGAGTTCCGGCTACCGACTTAAGAGGATAGTCGTGGTTTTGTGGTTGTGAATACTATATCTTAAAGAGCCTTGATATAAATTAAATTTAAAAATAAATAACCAACCGCGGTTGGTGTATAATAATTACATTTAATACCAGCTAAATATTATGTCATATGGCCGTTTCAGTGTCTGAAAACGAGTTCAAAATGATTAGTGTATAGCATAAAATTATTTAAAATGAAAAAGCGTCGAATGGGTACCGTTGCCGAGGCTTCGAACAGAGTTCGGTTAGGTTCCATCCACACATTATAGCCGTCCCGGAAAACCAAAATAGAAATCTAAATTTTCCACACACTAATATTATATTCATAATTATATGATATTATAATACACGGGTAAAACAGTAGATTCGTCATATTATTATTCATTAAGCCGATGTAATGCTTACCAGCGTGAATGCAACAAACTTATACAATTTGTATGTAGGCAGAAGACGCATCACGTCTTTTGTTAAGAGGACGCCACACCCGCATGCGTTGTCTCCGTCTTACAAACGAGTAACATACCAAATTTACGCTCAGCAGTTCAAGTTGTATGCCGTTAGCTTAGAAATTAGAGTGAATTAACCTATTATGAAACTTGATGGTGAGAACTTTATCTGTGTTTTGTTGGAAGTTTTTTTACAATAATTCAGTTTTTAAGTGAGTTAT